TTCTCAAATTAATTTTTTCATTAATTATTGAATCATCAAAAGAACTATTAATTATTGAGTAAAAATAAAGAGTTAAGATAATATTAAAAATTAAGGTAGGGTAGGTCAAGTTTTGTCTCTTTGTTTCTATAATATTAATTGAAAAAATTATAGTTGTTTTTAATTATAATTAATAATAAAATTTCACATAATTAAAATGTGTAAAGTTTTATTTCTATAAATTAATTTAAAAAAAAGTTGATGTTTCGGAAAAAAAAAACATTAAAAAAAGTTATGGCTTATTTATAATTATATTTAATAAGTTGAAAAGTTGAAAAGTTTGGTAACTCTTTCTGTTTTTTTCATTCGAATGTTTCCTTATGTCTTGATTTTTTTTTTCATATTTTAGTTAGATTRTTTGAACCTTCAATTTTTAATTTTTCTTTTAATTATAATGCAACGTGAATAATTGTTACTTTTTATAGAAGACTTATTACATACAATAAGTAATTTATTAGAAAAAACTCAAAAATGACATATTTACTTTCTTTTCAATGACTCAAATAAGAAATCAACATAAAGTTTTATTTCTTTTAGAAATTGTTATTTTTATGAAAAAAATGGTGAAAATTTAAGAAATGTGTTAAATTATTTATTCTTTGTTGGTGTATTTCACTCATGAAAAATTTTTAAGTAACAATGTTTCTCAATTTTTTTAGTCAATAAATTTGGGTGGTGAGATTTACTACAACGTCATAAGTGGAGAATAATATGTTGGTGAGATAAAAACAATGAGAGAAAAAAGCCAAATTGAGTAAAATTTTTAATTGTTTAATTAATTTGTATACTTTTAAACTCTAAAATAAAACTATGAAATTTTTCGTGAATCACACGTGTTTCTGACTAGTAACGTCAAAAAAGGAAGGATTTTGATGAAATTGACTCTCGATCTTAACCGGATCCTCATTGATACCATATTAATATTCCTAGGATTTCATCTCAAAATCAATTGACAATGAGAGAGGTTATCTATGTTTATTATAAACCTTTATAAAGTCCACTTTCTCTTCAATGTGAGATCTTTAACAATATACCCAATAAATATTTTGGATTCCATATGTTGAAATAAATAGACTAAAGTGTGAGGACAAAGATATTCCCCATTGGATTTGGGGACTGCCCTAAGGCAAGTCGCAGCAGTAAATTAAAGCAATGGCAGGACRATAACCCTAACTTTTAAGGATCCCGATGCCTTTGTTTCCCCAAGCTAGGCCTATACAATATTCCAACAGATATTTAGTCTAACCCTTATACTTTATGAAGTTGTGCCCCTATCTTTTATAGGTAGAGAATATAATGTGAATGTGACTTAATTCTCCCAATCATATATGATGCAAAAAAGTTCTCTCGTATATAAATCAATTAATTTCTACTCAAATGGAGTAAAGTATACCACCTTTCGGATGAACTATTAATGTTTTTTTTAGTACAACAAATGAGGGTATGAAAGATTCAAACTCATAACCAGAAACGGATGTCAATTACTACTGAGCTAAGCTCATGTTGGTGAGCGACTATTAACATTACCAAGGAAGCAAAATACCATCTATTTTAATCATTAGCTAGTCTCTCTCCAGAATCTATTAATGTTTTAATTGTCAGGGATATAACTATATTTATCAAACACAAGGGTCCAATCTCATATCAAGTTTTGGTTCCAATAACAGTGAAATTAAATTAATCGAAACTTGCAACTTAACAAAATAGATAAAACTAAACCTAAAATTTCTGAGCAATAAGAGCGATGATAACTCAAGATAGTGAAGAGAGATAAAAAACAAGTTTATACGGATTTACCCAAAGTGAGCTACGTTCAGTTTTCTCTGCTCTACCATTGTAGATCTAACATGTCAAGAAAAAATAGTACAAGAGTTTGTAACCGCTCAAGAATGATTTCTCTTACTTTTCTCTCCACTCAAAGCTCACGAATCACTCCACAGAGCTCACAAAACTCTTAACAGTGAATGTTCACACATTCTCTCCTTTTTGCTGCACAAACGAAGCCCTCGCTACACCACACCCACTTAAAAAGAATTGCCAACCTTTTCCTTTAATATCAGTGTCGCTTACTTAATAAACACGGTCAAGAAAGGTCTTCGAAATTATGGCGATAGTACCCTGGCGCTATGAACAAAATTTGTCTTTCATTCCTTCGTGTTCTTTTTTAAAGGAAAAACTATTTCATTGAAAGGGTCTTTCCTTCGTCTTTTTAAATTGTTATATCACTGTACCCTTCCAAGTCAGTGCYATGGCGCTCCAAACTTTGAGTTACACCTCAAACCAATGTCATGACCTTCAATAACAGCTCGAAGGCCCTTTAGGCTCGAGGTTTCAAGCTCGTAGCATTTTTGGCTCAATATTCTCAAATGTAATTATTTTAAGAATGTTTGGAGTAGTAGTATTACCACGAGTATCCCATTTTCAAAAATATTTATTTGATCTTTGTGGTGGGAGAGAAGCATAGAAATTCTTATCTTTCAAGCATCTCATTCTAGTTGAAATTCTCAATAACTATAGATATGCCATTCCAATGGACCTCTATCTTTTGTATGCTTCATCTTTTTCAATTCTCTATTCTACATTTATTAAATAAAAAAAACTAAATCTTCATTTCATGGATAACTGAAACTTGGGATGAATTTGCTAAATGTTCTTGTTGGATTTGTGAGTGGCTAGGGAAGAACATGATCCATATGGTATATAAATAAAGACAATTATCTCCATTGGTATGAGACGTTTTGGGTGAAATCAAAAGCAAACCCGTGAAGATTCTAAAACGGACAATATCATATATACCATTGTAGAGATATTTGGAGAACCGTTGTCCTTAACCCTTCTAATTTCTAATCATATATTTTTCTTCAAAACATCATTATATTATAATACAACTACAAGACCCAAGGTCATTTGGTCAAAATTTTCCTATTATTTTTAGGAAGAAAAAGGAAAACGCTTCGAAGATACTAATTCCCATCTCCAATTGTGTTGTCTTTTGTCCCTATATATACTACAACTTGTGGTTTAAAAACACAAAATCATTAAAATTCCCTTCCAAATGCCAAAGAATTCCCTTTGCCAATTGGCAATATCCCCTCTGAGCTCCTCCCTATAAATACCTTTCATGAGTTCTCTTTATTAACCCATTTCTTTTCTCTCCACTTCAAACCCATTGAAGCTTTCTTTTGTGTTTTCTCTGAGCTAATTTCATTGTCAAATTTTATCATTACCAATGGCTTCAATGTCTGCTTATGAGTCTGGTACATGGACTGCAAAGCAAAACAAGGCGTTTGAAAAGGCTTTGGCAGTATATGATCAAGACACGCCTAATCGATGGGTGAATGTTGCAAAGGCCATTGGTGATAAAACTGAAGAGGAAGTGAAGAGGCACTATCAGCGTCTTGTGGAGGATGTCAAGCATATTGAATCTGGTGATGTTCCTTTCCCCTATCGAACTTCTCGAGGTGCTCGTGACACTTGACGAATGATGAAAAAGAGGTAATATATATGTTAAGGATAACGGTACCTCAAGTACCTCGAGTATCTTCATAATTGTATGATATTGTCCGTTTTGGATATATCTCTCACTACTTTGTTTTTGGTTTCATTCAAAACGTCTCATAATAATTGTCTTCTTTTATATATCATGGATCATTCTCTTCCCTAACCAATGTGAGACTTTATAGTTTTTCCTTTTTTTTTATATGGTTTTTGGCGGTAATAAAGTAAAGTATGAACTTGTGTAACTTATTTCACTCAATCAAGAATAAAAATTTATAAAAGAACACACCTTTATAGTGCGAGTCAAGTTTAATTAATTTATGTAGCGAACATAATTATAGTTCAACTTCTCATATTTCTTTAATAATATTTAATTTTTGTAGCGAACATAATTATAGTTCAACTTCTCATATTTCTTTAATAATATTGGAGGTTCGAGTCCTATGACCTATTGTTGAACTAAAAAAGAAAGGTCTATTTTTATGTCTCTCACAATAATAACTCTCATTTAGCTAAAGAAGATTTGAAATACTTAAATTAGTTAACCCTTTTATTTTTGCAACCATCTTAATTTGGACGTTATGATATCTCTTTCATTTCGCTTAATTGAAGTACTTTTTACATGGCCTCTTTTGATATGTTTCTTGCATACTTTAATGAAATGGTTCCGATATCTCTTAAAAAAACAAACCATTTGATGTGGTACAAATTAAAGTTGTAGCTTATATTCAAGAACATCCGTACTTTACCTCCTACTTGGCCCTATTTTCAACTGATTAGGTGATTTAGAATTAAATGATGATGGGTATTAATTAATTAATCACGTATATTAAGAAAGAAAATATGGTCCTTGGGGAAACAATTGAACAATGCAGTCTTATTCTATGGGAGAAACCCTACCTAATCATCGGTTCATAATCTCTACCGAGCTTGTTCTCTGGTAAATGACGTAGTAGGAAGTGCTTGGAACCTTAAGACCTCAAGTTCAAGCCACACGTTAGTCACATTATTGCTCAATCTACGCAACGAGCCCTAGATCTATCTACCGGCGAAAACCACACGACATCGATTCTAAAAAATAAAAAAAAACAAAAAAAAATATATAGCCAGCTTGTATTTAACATGTTTTAAGAAAAATACTAACTCATAAGCATTAATTGAGTTTGAATTTAACCCAATATTTCTTGTTCTTTTGGTTTTCCCAGGATGAAAAGTATGAAGCTCCATTAATATTTGCCAGCTCGTGCAGTAGTGGAGGAATAAAAGAAGAAAGAGCCATTTTCTTGCTGTTGTTTCCCATTTAAATGCTATTATTGCAATACTTTTTTAAAAAATATCACCCATCTACAGTTTTGTCCTTTGAATATTTAACCTATTGAATAAAACTATCAATCTTATAATTTTTGAGATTGGAGAAGTCTTTATGTAAATTTTATATCATTGAGAAATCTCGCTATAATAATTCCTATCCATGAATTACGGTTTTAATAAGTATGACAACTGGAGTGCTTCCGTTTGAGCCTCTTTTTGTAATTACGGTATCAAAATCATCTCTCTTTTTGTAATTATGATATTGCTACCATTTCTACCATTTCTCTCAACTGGAGTGCTTTCGTTTGAGCCTCCTTTTTGTATGTTCCTTACGTACCCGTCTTAATGGATGATATCTCTTTCAAAAAAGTAAAAAATAAAATAACAAGTATAGCGACATAATATTGGTCTTTGTCACTACTGCTAGGTCCCATAGCAGAAACATTGGCACAATGCAGTTGGTGCTATTCTTTGAAATATTTGACATGAGAGGATTAATTGCTCCATTATGGATAGATCCAGATCTTTACTCATCTTCGGGGAGATATATTAAAGTCTCAATCTCCTCTGGGTCTTCTAAATCTTATGCTTATGTATCTACCATCTCGCTAAACTGGAGTGATTTCATTTAGTTTTCTTCCTTTTGGGTATGTTTTGTGAYATGCTCCTTAACCAGGATTTTTTATTTATTTATTTAAGATGTACGAGGTCCTATAACCATTGTTCAAATTCGTATTGATAAATTATTAAATTTATTGATTTGGTGATGTTTAACCATTTCGACTCTCAAAGTTGGCCTTTTTTTTTGGTTGTTGTTATTAATTCTTTAAAAAATAACCATACATGTGAACAGAATATGAGCAAATGAAAGTAAATGTTCAAAGTCTTGAAAGGACACTCCTTACAAAAGTTGATTTTAGTGATTTTTCAACTTAATTATAATTCCCCACTCAATTCATCCTAAAATTGACTATCTAATTCATTCATCTTTAATGAATCTTATTACTAACATATCGTATCAGTATTCATATTCTTCTTCCTTTTTAGCCATCTTCTTCAAGATATTAAATTCTAATTTTTCTTTTCTTTTTTCATACGGGAAGATTAAAACACATAACATGATTCATTTCTAAACCTTCTATCATTAATTAACACGAAAGCTCATTTTCTCCTTCAAAATAGAAGGAAAATTTCAATACAAGGGTGGTATATGTAATATGTAGTASAACAAATTTGACTATTAATGACGCTATAAAAAAGAGTAAGAAACAATGATGGTCAAGGAAAAAAAGACGTGGATATTAAAAAAAAATTAAGAAACAATCTCGGTCGGTGACCATTTGGTATCACTTCACAAGAAAACGATTTTATTTTGGTTAATTAGAGCTCATTTGGTAATGTTCTGCTTTTTTATTTTTCGTTTCCAGTTTTATTAAAAAACATAAACATTTACAAATATGAAAGTTCCAACGCCCCTTGGCTTCATATAATCAAATTTTTGGGTCAACTTTTTCGGCATACGAAACCGAAAGATTGGAAACGGGAAGGATCTTTATTTTTGGTATCACAAATTGGACTGCAACGTGGTTGGGCCAATTCACCAAGTGGGGCTTTCTCTGTACAAGACATGAAAATTCTCCTTCTTGATCGGTCTCCTTTTGCTTCCTCCGTTTTTTTTAGAACTTTTGGCACTTTCTTTTCTCGAAGAACTGTAAATTTTTTATCTGGTGTCTCCTTCACCGTGGCCTCAACATAGCAGAAAAGCCTAAACATGGCTCTTTGCCCACACAGATATGACCTTTACTATCAAAGTGGAGAATCTGTAGACCAACTTTTTCTTCATTCCCCATTTACATATTCTCTCCGGTACCATCTCTTCCATACCTTTGAAATACAAACCTCCTTTCCCAGATTTATAGATCCCTTTATTAAGGAGTATCTCACTTGGCCTCTCAACACCAAACGCCATATCCTCTGGAGCAATGCACTTAAATCGCTTCTATGGAACATTTGGCTGGAACGCAACAATCGTCACTTTTTGAGGCTTCTAGGTACCGCGTATCTCTCTGGGATATCATTATCAGTGCCTCTACTGGGTCATCCAAGTCCATACTCTTTTGTAATTATTCTATATTTACCATTTATCTCAACTGGATTGCGGTTATATAGGTTTATTATTTGTATAGGTATGTTTCTGACATATTTTTAACGAAATGATATATATATTTTCTTCAAAAAAGAGAAAGAAATATAAGTATTTGACAGCCATTTATGATTCTTGTTTCTCATTTTTACAAATATTCACAAAAGTATTGTTTAGAAATTTTGGAAATAACAAAAAAACAAGTTTTTTTTTCTTATTTCCAATTTATTACAACATAATAAAAATTTTGTTTTATCATTTTTAAATCCATGGTTGTTATGAGGCCATGCAATTATACTTTTCTTTTTTAAAAATGAAAGGAAAAAAATCAAGAAATGAAAAACATTAACAAATGAACGCTTAGTGTAGTTGTTGGAATAATAATTCTCTTTTACAAAGTAGCTTCATTTTCACTAGAATCATATATTTTATGAGACTTTTCAGCTTGATTTAAACAATCGAAATTATACACGTCTTTAAAGTTTGTAACCCCTATTATTAACTTCTTTTTAAATCTAGAATATAATTCTTCAGCTTTTTACTCCTATGATATAAGGCATCTGTGCCCGTCTAAGGCCTAGAAATTTTTTTTTTTTTTTACGGGAGAAATAACCCACTTATATTATAAACTTGAGTTTTTGGTATTAAACTCACCCAAAACAGAAATTTGAATACAGACTTCATGGTAGATGATACCACAAGACACGGGGTCTTGTAACCTTATTATCGCTCCAAGTACTGAATATGTATGCTCCCAATAAGTATTTTATTTTATTTTTTATTCTAAGTGAAATGAATGCAACAATATTCCCATAGACTTTGGGGATTGCCCTAGTTCAAGTTGCAGCATAAAGCCATGCAGGAGAACCGACCAGCTCGCTTTTTTGATCCCGATGCCATTGTTTTCTAGCTTTGTCCCAACACCATATATTCCAATGGATATTTGGAGTAGCTTATATGATCTCATCAAGTTGTGTTGTGTGTTGTTTTATTTTCCAGCTTGGTATAGAGAGAATATATATATAATGTGAATGAGATGAATTCTTCCAATCATTATATCTAATGCAGAAGTTTCCTTCCAATACATCAATATATATTCTTCTGATATTGAATGAAATTAAACAACCCTATACTATAGAACGACTATATTATTACTATTATTTTATAACAGAAGTAAAATAAGGGGGTTTTTTTTTTTAATAATCTCACTGGTGTTGATCTAAATATAGAAAGTTGAACTTTCTTGCTAATCACTCTAACTCATCTATCTCACGGTTAAAGATCCTACGTTGAAAGATAAAAAACCTAATAAGGATTTATAATATAAGTGAGTTATGTTGGGTATTTTTCAGTGAAAAACCCAACTTTAAGGCCCATGGGCCATTAATGTTTTAGGGTTATATATATATATAGAGGGAAAATCTATGCAGATCGAGGAGAGAAAAATAGAAAAGAAAAAGGAAAAGAAATTCAATTCCGTACAGTGACGTTTTTTGCACGATCGGAGGTCGATCCGTAGTCCGATTGAGGTGAAATTTTGACAGTGTGTTCGTAACACGAGGGTTTGAATGGGCAAAATATAGCATTAATCAATAATGGCTTCAATGTCTGCTCATGGGTCGGATGGTGCATGGAGTGCAATGCAAAACAAGGCGTTTGAAAGGGCTTTGGCAGTGTATGATGAAGACACACCTCAGCGATGGCTGAATGTTGCAAATGCCATTGGTGGCAAAACTGAAGAGGAAGTCAATAGGCACTACCAGCTTCTTGTGGAGGATGTTAAGAATATTGAGTCTGGTGAAGTTTCTTTCCCCTCCAGAAGCCAATAACTGATGATGAAAAGAGGTAATAATTTTTGCTTTACTAGAGTATAGGGAGGATCTCCTACTTCTTCAAGTATGTTTTAGTTCAAATTAATTAAAAAAGAAATGGGTCTTTTGAATAAGAGTCTAATTTTGTATATATTAAGAATCTCACGTTCAAAAGATAAGAAACCTTAAGAAAGTCTATGATATAAATGTGCTACTTCTCTAATTGCCAATTGATTTTGAGATTGAACAGTGAATATTAATATGGTATTAGAGCCCAAAACGCTCAAACGAATATTTGGTTAAAAAAAAAGTTTTTAGGCTTGGATAACCCAGTAGAGGCACTGATAATGATATATTTTTACAAAAGAGTATGGACTTGGATGTTGGCTTCTTTGAAAAGTTTTTTACAAACGATACTCTAACTCTTCCATCCAAGTCCATCCAAGACTTTTATTTTCCTTGGATCTTGGCTTCTTTGAAAAGTTTTTTCTTTAATTTTTCAATTTTGAAAAATTACCTTTRTTAAAACTTAATTATTTAAACTTATGACAAACATTAGAGTTAATGATTCTATCGGACCAGAGTCGTATGAGATTGATTTTTAATTCAAATTCTGTCTTAGTGCTATTAGGCTAGTACTGGCAGGGATATCTCACTTGGGAGAAAAACTGAACATCTCAAGATCACGTGTTTGATCTACGTTCACCAATGCTATTGGCTCCTCATCTTAAGCTGATGCCATTATATGGAAACATTTATAATACTTTAATATTTAGTATTGTAATAAAAAACGAATCCGTTTCTTTTAGAAAGTTGCAGTACTTCCTTTTTTACCATACAAATTTTCATTCATAAATAATGTCTTTAATTATGTCTTTAATTGTGGTCCGATCCCATATCATTATTAAATAATGTTGACCTGATTGACAATATAATAAAAGTTAAATTACAAAAAATACTCATATAACTATTTGTTTAAAAAAATATCTTTCAATTATTACCATAAATTTTCATAAATATTTTAGAAATACCTTTTGATCAAATATTCGTTAATATTTTGAACACAAAGCTAATATGGCAGAATCTAGAATGACGTGAGAATTAACGTTGAAGCTTGCCTAGATTAAATTTGAAAAGAGAGAAAATCAGAAAGAAACTATCGTTTTAAAAAGGAGTCGAGGATTAGGATAAAATTGCATAGACGATACAAGAACAAATTCTCTTGACAAACTTTCAAGGTAAAATTAAGAGATTAATTGTCACATCAATTGGTTACGTAATTATAGATTCTGTTTCGTCGACTTTCCATTTAAAATACTAAAAGATGTTTTTTTCAAAAGATATTTATAAAACATTTATATAAAAGGTCAATCTAGTATTGAAAATTTTAAAACAGTAAGAATATTTTTATAAACAACTAGCAAAGTTCACGAATATTTTTTGTAACCTAGCGAGTAATATATATGTATCCAAGATTACTAGATAAGTTTTTCCTTTATTCAGCTTGGTATGCATACTAGCATGGAGGGGTGTCATTATCACTGAATAGCCCCCCATTTGGCATGGATTCTGTCAGCTAATTAAGGGCTACATGTCCAAGAAAAAATCCAAAAATTTCTCATCTCCTGTGGTAAGCTTTCTGAAAAGTACTATTTTCTTCTTGTTCTTTGTGTACTAAAGCTGCAGTTAAAAGCCTCAGAATTTGGCTCTTCAGAGTCTAAGACCAAACAAAATCTACATTTTTATATCTTTTAAGAGAATATTATATCACATCAGCATCTTATATTAATATTCACGGGTGTTTCGTAGCTTTTTTGACTGATTAATCTCGTTTGAGTGTTTTGGTCTATAATAATATATTAATATTTATGGAGTTTCATCACAAAACCAATTAGTAATGAGATGAGTAACCCATATGCTCATTTTTTAGATTGGATGCTCGTTAACTACTGCACTACAGCAACTAATAAAAACAAAAAACTAAAAATAAATAAAAAACATTTCGTCTAGCAAGAAGATGAAGTAAGAACATATTTATGAATCTTTTGAATTTACTATGCTCCCCAAAGCTACCCATCAATCGTACAATATTTTTGTTCTAACTTTAGAAGCTCAAAAACCATTCATTAGATTAAAAAAAAAATCAAGTATTTTTAGTTAAGGGGAGAAATATAGAGGCATGAGAGAGGGTCATTTATATCTAAGGGCATCAAAGAAAACATATCCTTCCTCCCAATCTTTGATCAACATCTTATTCAAAAAATAACACCTATTAATGTCAATATCCAAAAAAAAAATTATTGGAATTAATAGCTATGAAATCTTACTACTAAATTACCAATGAACCTAAAGTATTATACGATAAATTTAATATTTTAAAGATATTTTAACACTGCACCTCACTTGATAATATAGATATAGCTTTGCAAGCATACGTCTACTCCACTCACCAGAACGTCTTTTAAGTAAAAGTTATTCAATTTTTTTTAGACACTAAAAGTGCTCTACAAAATCTACAATAAGTAAAAAGATAATAATAATTAATTAAAATTTCAGATGGCTTAAAGTTTTTTTTTCTTTGGTTTAAGAAACATTGAAAGATGATTATCTAAAATGTGACTTCAAAGTGATTAATCGAAGAATCGGCAGTAAGAAAAAAAATATATAATTGGGATTATGATAATCACCTTTAACAGAGTGCAACCAAAACAAATTTGTTATTCAAAGCTTTAATGGTAACTAAATGCATAATTAATTAAACATATTTTATAGAAAAATATGTTTAAACTAAAAGCTAAAAAAAACGAAAAAAGATATTTTAACAACTGAACTATAGTCATGTTAGTCACAACCAACGTAGTATTGGATTAAGTTAACAAAAGAAATATAAGCCAGGACAACCACGACTCGACTTACCCTCGTCATTGTTAGAGGTATTTACATCAAACTCTTCCAGTATTATCAACCAACATAGGAGTGCTCTCATATGATTTTTTTATCTTTTCGGAACAGAGGTAAAGAAAAGTTCTGAAGAGGGAAGCAAAATTCTACATTCTAACCCTTTTCTATACATAAAGGGGAAAAGTCAGAAGAAAATAACAGAAGATTCAGTAATTTAACACAAGCTTTGAATTACAAAAAATATTAAAAACAAAAAAACAAAAAAAAAACAAAGCAAAACTCAACTCAGATATTTTTAGCTAGTCTTTGCCTTAAATATTTGTTCAAAATTTTAGGGACTAAAACTAGGAGTTAGGTGTCCTTTTAAGTTATATGGAAGACGAGTATTATTATCACATTTGCTATTTTCTAAAATTACTCATATCCCAAGTTTTAAATGTCAATAAAACATCGTTCCGGTTGATAGATATTTCTGAAAAGATTATAAAAATAAAAATTCATAAAAATTATTTAAATTAGCGAATAATCATTTCATCATTTCTAAATGAGTTAAAAATTAATAATATTAATTTTATGTCTATAATAGTGATATTTTGGTTGATATTTTCATATTTTGTCGATTTTTTGTGTGATACTATAGAAATTTTGATTTACTCCACATGTCAAACTCGTGGACACATGGAAATATCAACATGTCGATAAAAATTTAATACCATATGCTCATAGATATAATTGTCAACATTATTTTTTTAAAAAAAGGTAGACATTTTTTCAATGACAAAAAGTAATTTTGACATTATCAAAATTACTTTCAAACAAGCTCTCAATGTTTGACAATAATATAAAGTAACTTTAGAAAATGGTAAAAGTGACCCAAATATGCCCTTAAAATTTAGTATCAAAAGTTGATCATGTGGAGAGGTTTACTAAAGTTATTGAAGAGAAGAGCTATTAATTAACTTGCAAAAGCTCCTTTCACTTGAAGAATGAACAAATTATCTTAGAAATAAGCTGGCCCACCATTATCTCAATTAGAAAAATACATCTGAATTTAGATTTCTCAAACTTTCCAATAATGAGCTAATTTTCTTTTCTGCCTAATTTGGTTTGAAGTTTCTTTTTACTGTAATTTTGAAGTTTGATATCTATGTTAGCATTTAGCAATTGAAAAAAATAAGTTTTCAAAACAAAAAAAAAAAGGAAAAGGAGAGAATTACACTCAATAAAAAAAATTGAGCAACATAATTAGAACCAACAAGGTAAGAAGTTAGAACGTGCATTTGGTATCGTTTTCGTTTCTTGTTTCTGTTTTTTCATTTTTAATAAAGAAAAACGAATTACATGACATCCATAAATTCAAGTATGATAAAATAATCTTTTTATTTAGGTTTTGGAACAAATTGAAAATGGAAACAGAAAAGAAGAAACTTGTTTTGGTTGTTTCCAAAATTTCTATACAATTTTGAAAATGTTCTAAAAAAAATGAGAAACAACAAACATAGTCAGTTGTAAAACGCTTAAATTTATTAAGAAATTGGAAACGAGAAACGAGAAACGAGAAACCAGATCAAAAATAATGTTACCAAACGAGCTCTTGCTTTTGGAGAAAAGTTCAAAAMAAAAAATTCTTTAGTCCAACCAACTTGTAGAGTTGAAGATTTAAACTTATTACTTATATACTGTTTTAATCAGCTAAACTATGTTGAGATTAAATTTACAACCTTTTATTTTTTTGTTTCAATCCATAAATATCGTGACTTAATTACTCAACTAATTCAAATATCTATTTTTAATTAAAATATCATATGATTTTAAATCTCCACCCTCAAATATTGAATGGGTGGTACTTCTTTTCCCTTTTCCTTCAATTGTTTCCCTAAGATTATATTCTCTGTATCATTKGTCCAATATATATATCCCAGGATATCCAGAAATAGTAAACGTATTTATCATCTCAGAAATGCCTCGTTCAGGGGATAAGAACAGACACAAAATAATAATACAAGAAGCCATCTTCTCCTCCCTATGGCATTAAAAAACAACGCAATGGATTTTTTTTGGGTGTGTTAACCAGTACAAAGAAAAGTCATTAGAGAAGAAAATGATCATGGATATAT